GATCTCTATTAAATATAGGGACAATTAGTGTACACTTCCTTTCACCAGGGCTTCGCGGTCCTCGTTTGGTGAATGGGACATGAAGGATTTTTACGATTCCCGTAATTCCAGACTAAATTAACTCTTGACAAATTCGATTCACTCCGCAGGCCTTTTTCAACTTGAGGTGCAGAAATGTTTTTTGGATTTCAAATTTTGTGGGTGGATCTGAACTGACACCCAGCGCTGGCCGACAAATATCTGTTGAAAATGCCGAATCCGGAAGGCAGATAAAGAGCAGCTCCTTGAAATGTTCAGCCCATCTTTTTGTTGACTTTCTAATTTCTACAGCTGACCGACTGGATATGGAAAGAAGAAATTGTTGAAGAGTACTGAAAGACGGATGACAGAATTAATAGATACAGACTGAAAATGATAAGAAGTACATAGATCCATGCGGAAATCAGGGTATACTACGTCACTGATAAAGACAAAACTGTAAAGCCGAGAAACCGTAAAATAAGAGAAAGCCAGTACATATTCGAGACATGCCTGTCAACGGGAGCAAACAAATCAAATGCTATTGAGAGAAATAAGATAAGGTCCTTGAACCTGAATACAGACAATAATACCGATCCTCATATAGAATCACAGACTATGCCAGTGAAACATGAATATGAGCTAGAGTGTGCGTAGTATTTTGCTGAGACATCAAGAAGCAAACTTATTAAAGTTTGAATTGAGAAAGCGTGATGCTGGAACTTGATTTATTTTTAACTTTGTATAAGTACTTGTAAAACGCCACGTATTTAATTATTGAATTTTTTATTTTATCTGTTATCCGACTTGTTCTCTTTATGGGTGCGCCATTAGCGCATGTAGACGCTTGCCTGGTATTTTATGTTCTCCACTTTCTGCTTCCACCGGTAGCAAACGTAAGAAGAATTCAAAAGCCTTCTGGGCCTGAACGAGTCGACCGCTGCCAAGGACAAACTGGCTTCCGAAGTCGACGCACCTCTTTCATTGCCGTGGGACACGGACCGAAGTGTCGATAATTGTCAATTATGCAACTGATCAAACTGTCGGTTGTTACGGATAGATAAATTGCGTTTTAAGCTGATTTCAATCTACATGCTTTAAACGATTTCAAGAACTGCATTACTTTTCATTTTGCATGACAGAAGTCATACTTGGTAGCAGGATAGTACACCATATTATATAACAAAATCTCAAGTCTCTCGACATCTTTAACTGATAGTGTGAATTCACTGGGTGGGTATACTCGCTTCTTTCTTTGACGCCTGTTGGATTGCCAACAGGACTTCGAGGTCACCGTAATTTTCGCAACAGTCGCACTATACATGGGAGATTGCTACTGGAAAGTCGCACACTAACCTGTACCCTAGCTTCGGTCAGGTCTATTTTCAGAGCGATTTCTTCCCGCGTGTATATGTCCGGATAGTGTGTCTCTTGGAAGACGCGTTCTAGTTCACGCAGCTGTGACGAAGTGAACGTCGTACGTATGCGTCGTTGCTTGCGCCGCTCGCCACCAGTGATAGACGCAATGTAGTTCGAGAAGTTGCCGCTCGTGTTGTTGAGGTAGTCGTTAGCAACCGGCAACGTCTGGAAGCTGGCGCCGGCAGTTGACTCAGCGAACCCTGTTGTCGTGAGTGACCGAGGTGTGGGATAAAACTTATATGACAAGTTAGCTGAAGCAGACAAACGCGACTGTCACAAGTGACTTGCTCTTTGTCACATCTTCGCTTACCTGGGTTGAAGAATGACTGTAGAGCGTCTGGTGTTCTGTAGCTGCATGTGCTGAATTGACTACCAAGGCCGTTCAGCGAGCCGTTTGAAGAGCTGGTCGCCGTACCATACGTGCACCCTGTAGAGCACACTGTGCTCACTGGGCTGACAAACGACAAGTACGTCTGATAGCCGGAAGTGACCATTGACGGTGTACGCTGTGTTGTACATGAGCCATCGCCGCAGCTGCGATGGTGACCGACGGCGTTAAGATTTGGAGCTGCACCCGAGGGCATCTGATGGATGCTCGCATGAAGCAGCGGCTCAAAGTTGGACGCTAGGGCTGGCGGTGGAGGTGGCAGATTGGACGCGACATTGTCATACATGAAATAATTCGCGTAATAGTCCATCAGTGCTGACTGCTGCCAAAAACGCACCGACAACCACTGGACGGATGTCTGTAGCTGGCGGCACAAAGACAGTGCGGCGGCAATCACCACCGCCTAATGAATCGACGGTGGGCAGTGTGGCAAAACTTGGATTCGCCTGGCGGATAATGCAATTACACGCAGCCGATGCGAAAACCAATGCGGCGGCCGGCTGTCAACTGGGCGGCCGTCGTCCAAACTGCGCAAGCCCTTTTGGGCAGTCACTTTTGATGTTGGGGAAGCGTCGAACATCCGCCCGTAGTCTCAATTACGAAGATGAACCAAAGATTCCTTAGCTGCGTACGCTTCCAGCGTGTCGCCTCTGCGCCGATTCACATCGTAGTCCGTCTGACCGTCTTTCTTTGGTCACGTGCACACATCGCACCGCAGCTAGCGCTTAAGCTCGTTTTCAATCAACCGTACGCTCTTTCAAACCATAGTACATTTCCAATTAGAATCTGTCGTTTACTTCTTACTGTTTTGAACGCCGCCTGCTCCTGTCATTTGAGCTACCGTAATAAATCGATATTGAGTGCGGTCCGACGAATTGCCCGCTGGTTCTCCTCTAAAACGTTCGCGTATTAATTGCCGTCTATTTACAGCACATCAACGCTACAGTGGTCTTGTTTGTCGTACACTTGAGTTTAGCAGAACATTGAGTCAGGAGCACGTCGTTCTTCGGCAACGCTTCTATCACGTCACATCTGATCACTTTGTTTTGATCAACCGATCCGATTTTTCGCCTAATTGGCCAACAAAGCACTAACCGAATTACCATCGACAAAACTGACCTACCGATTATCGGCGTAATCAATGGGAGTCTGTTCATAATGAATGAATAGCTTTGCGCTTGATAGCCTGATACTACCCCAGAATACAGTGCTGCAGCCCCTGCCAGCGAAGTACGGTAGCAGCTGTGGTTTAGCCTCTGGTTGCAGAGGTCAAGAAATGGATCAACTGGATGTTTCAGCTGAACTCGTAATAGGTCAATCGTTTCAATCGTTTGCCTTTCATGTCG